AAAAGGAAAAAGACAAAAAAAAAAAAAAAAAAAAAAATTTAAAAAAAAAAGACAGAACAGAATGAAACCTAACAAAATTGTGAAAACATTACAAGAGTTCAAGACAAGACAATAAGAAATTAACATTGGTCACCACCTTCTCCTTTTAGGTGTTTCCTCCTTTATCAGTTTTATAGTATCTATTGTATTTTTGAATCCCACTAACGCCTTCTGTTTTTTATGCTAGTGTTCACATTGCATGAGTTCAAATTGTTTCACCCATGAACATGACCTCCAGTTACATCCACTTACCTATAAAAACATTGAGATTATTCTACTTTCCAATGGATAGCTTTCCACTGTATGAAAATACCACATCTTTCTTACCCATTCTGTGATTGATGGGCAAATTACCCCTGCTGTTTTCTGGTTTCCTGTTGCATGGAACATTATTTTCTCTCCTTTGACTTTCAGTCTATGAATTTCCTCAAATGTGTTTAAATTAATCTGTTTAAGTTAATCTGTTTCTTGTATACAGCCTGGTGTTGGATCTTGTTTCTTGATCCACTCTTGCTGTGTTTTTTTTTAATTTTGAATTGAGTCCATCTACATTAATGGTTACAGTCAGCATGCATTGGCTTGTCTCTGCCATGCTGTCTTCCTGTTGCTGGTCCTCCACTTTTCCCCTTCATTCAATTGCCTGTATTGTTTGGCAATCCTCCTCTGCTGCTGTTCTTGGAACCATGGTCATCTTTATCTCTCTCTAGAATATTCTTTAGAACTCTATGTAGGGTTGGTTTGGTAATCATGAATTCCTTCAGTTGTTCTTTATCATGCAAGTATCTTATTTTTCCATCAGTTTTGAAAGGTAGTTTTTCTGGGTAGATCAATCTGGCTTCGAAGTTGTTTTCTTTTAGGGTTTGAAACACTTCACTCCATACTCTTCTTGACTTGTTGGTTTGTGTTGAGAAGTCTGCTGTGATTCTAATTGGCTTTCCTTTACAGGGGATCTGTCTCTTTTCTCTAACAGCTTTTAATGTTCTGTTCTTGTGCTGAATTTCTGGAATCTTGATTATTAGATGTCTGGGTGTAGATTGACTTTGGTTATGGCTAGTTGGAGTCCTATATACCTCACTTACCTGAATGCCAGATTCATTTCCCATGTTTGGGAAGTTTTCTTCTATTACTCCTGTGAATATCCTTTTAATTTCATTTATGTTGACTCCTGCTACTTCACCGATGCCTATCACACATAAATTATGCTTCCTTGCATCATCTTGCAGCCATTGAGTTGTTATTTCCTTATTCTGTGTTATTTTTAAGAGATCTTTCTTTTCATGATCACTAGCTGCAATCCTATCTTCAAGGTTTGAAAGTCTGTCTTTAGTCTCTTTCAAGCAGTTTTGCCAGCTTTCAATTGACTTCTTAATTTCCTGGATCTCTCTTTGAATCTGTTGCATGCATTGTAATTCGTTTCTACATTCATTCAAGGTTTCCATCATTTTCCTATGCTCCTCTTTTTTGGTCTATGTCTTGTTTAGACCTGCTGAACAATTCTTTCAGTATGTTTGTGATTTCTTCTTTTACCTGAGACATTATTTCTGATTTGACTGCTTTTACAATCTCGTGAAGTTGTTTCCTTTCTTCAGTTGGTATCCTCTCAGAGATTTCAGGTGTGTGACTTCCATTTTCTTCCATGATTGTCTCTCCCAGACTTACTGTGTGTGGGCTAGAGGTCTGAGTTTGCCTTTTGCTCCTTCGTTTTGACATTCTCCTGGGTTCCTCCCAACAAGCTGGTTGTGGAGCCCTCAGCACTTCCCACGTTGGCTGCCCCTAGACAGTGTAGGGAGATGAGACAGGCACCTGGGTTTCTCTAATTCCAGATTTACAGGGAGGTAGCAGGGCATGAAGCAGGCTTCTCCAGAGCTCTGCAGCTACTGTGGCGCTTCCCTGATGATCAGGGGTGCATGGATGTGGGTCTATTTCTCTCAGCCTGTGTTTCTACACTGGAACTCCCAAAATGGTGGCAGACACACAGGGGTGTGTTTGTCTGATTCTTCTAGTGGCTGCCTGAGGGAACCAAGGGCTTCCAATGGTGGCCTATGTGTGCACAGGGCTTACCTGGCTGTATATCCCTGCTTCTACTAGCTGCCTGCAAGAAGGAGCCTTCCAGTGGCAGCTCCCTGAAGGTGAAGGTGGATCTGTTGGCTGCCTTCAGGCTGCCTTTTGGCGGCAGCACATAGCAGACAGAAATGGATCTATCAGTCTCCCGCAGCCTGCACTGGGCACACAGAAGAAAGAGCCTCCTGGTAGTGGTACTGGGCAGGCAGAAGCAGATCTTCTGGCTCTCTCTGCGCATGCTGGGTGCGTGGAATAAAGGGCTTCCAGTGGCAGAGCCTGGCAGGCAGATGCAGGTCTTCTTGCTCTCCCTGCCCGTGCTGGGCACACAGAGGAAAGGGCTTCACTATTCTTTTCATCCATATAAAGGTTAATATTGCTTAGTGGTTTTCAGATATATAAACCTGCTAGAATTTTTATTGAAGACAATTGACATACTGAAACTTCTGAGTCATAATTGTGAATATTGCTCAATTTCTTTAGATCATTTTTAATTTACCTAATTACACAAATAATAACTACTTGTTAAACAATTAGGAGTTTTCCTTCCTGAGAATCACATAATAAAACTTGTCTGAGATGAAGTGTTTGAAAAGCTTAATCTAAAATGTAGAATTGTATGCAAAAATTGTGCACATATACTTAGAATTAAATACCGATGGTCAAGTAAGAAAAATAAGATTTAGCTGGATGAATTTTAAACTGCAATGTGAAGCAAAAATATCGGAGAAGATGAACCTAGAGCCCTCTGCACATGCTGCTTTGGCCTAGGTTTCATTTGCCTTAAGGCTTAGGTATTGATTCCCTCAAAAGAGGAACTCGCCAGTGATTTAAACAGTCAGTTCCAGTAAAACATGGTGTGTATTAGAAAAAGTTGAGAATGAGCAGGATCCTGTGTGAAGGTGAAAAAGTTTCCAGACTGATGCTGGCCTATGAGGGCAGGGGAAATACTCTTAGGAGAAGGAGTTCAGCAGATAGGACACCAGCTAGGAAAAGCCAAACCCAGACAGAGTTAGGATGATCCAGTGAAGTACAGGATAAGATGAATCCTGGGGCTGGGAGCTAACAAAAAGCTAGGCCGCAGATGGGGAAAAATGGCCAAGGTCAGCGCTTCGGTGGCCTGATGAACTAGGGTCCTGCATTAAACTAGCGAAATCTACCTGTGCAGGAATGTGGTAATGACAAGATGATACACAGCTAGAACTACCAACCATTTATTCATATCCCCTGATGAGTACCTTTGTTCTGTTTGTGTTGCTCATTTTAGAAAAGTTATGATTAATGATGTTTGCAAAAGTATGTTTGCTACATACCCCAAGTTTGTATAAGCTCACTTCTAGTCAAAATTTCCTGCTAAACTTGGCCCAGAGTGGTTTAAGATGTCATTTTTATATAGAAAAACACTTAGCCAAAATATCCCCTTGGCAACTTTCTTGGATACCCTCATAGTACTGGCAACCTTCTGCTTTTGCTCTCCAATAAATGCTTTTGCTCATTTCTATCTTGATTATCTACCTTGTAATATTTTTCTGGGTTGAGAGAGAAACCCACCAGCTGGATGATAACACAATGGAGTTACAAGAAGTTAGGATGCCCCCTTAAGAGTTGTCCTGCCTGAGACAGGAGTGCCAGGACTTTATACAACCCCAAGAAATGATCACTGGGATAAAATTTCCTTGTATCTGAAAAGGATGCACGAATTTTGATGAAGTGGCTTGGCCTGCCTGAGGAAAATTCCCATGAAGGTAGTCAGCTGGGAAAATGTAACTATAAGTGCTCCCAGCAATATGGGGAACAGGTGTTTCTGTCCTGGAAGGAATATCAGGTTGGCTTATCAAAGCAATATATATCACCCAATGCACATTCATTGTATAATGAGTTTACCTAGTCTGCCTTTCCTAGTTACACCACAGCTCATTTAAAGATTTCAGGTAATCCTTACAATCTCCCTTGTTTTGTCATTTTAGAAAAACATTTATGTCAGTCAGTATAGCTCAGCTCATAACAGATAACATTTCCTCTGAAATGTCTAAGGCCTTATTGTATTGCCATGACCAGGTCAGACTAGGAGTCCCCAGGCTGGCTGTGTGGTATTCCTAAAGCTGAGATAAAGAATCTAACCTACTTTTTTGTAGAGTAAGTTTATATGCTCACTGACTCCCATTGTAGAAAATGAAGTTTTCAGGTCATGTCAGTAAAACAGATGGCAAAGGTTTATTCGGAAGGGATTTTAATATGTATTCAAGAGTGGAGTATAAGGACTCAGGGAAATGAGCCCCACTGTTTGGAGCTGAGAATATTTAAATATTTTTTTTTTGTTTTGAAACAAGGTCTCACTACGTAGGTCAGGCCTGTCCTTGAACTCACTATGTATCCTAAACTGACCTTGAACTCACAATGATCCTCCTGCCTTAGCTTCTTGAGTTCTGGGATTACAGGTGTGCACCACCATATATGATTATTTATATATTTTGGAGGATGGAAGTCGTGGAAGACTTGGTCTTCGTCTGGTGGGTGAGCTGCGGGATGGCTATTAGATAATCTTTGTGTGTTTTGGGTGTGTTCTAATTTACAGGTGATAAGGTCAGTCTGTGGCCTTGGTTTTGTGGAATGACCCACTTGCAGTAAAATAATGGTCCACTCATATTGAAAATCCTAATTTGTAGATGAAAAATTAGTTTACTCATAGGTAAAAGACCGTTTGCAAGTTAAAAGGGAATGATTAAATTCACTTTTGAGTGAAAGGGAATTTCCCAGGCTTACTTTGTTCTGGGAGAAAGAAAAAAAAATAATCATGAATAAACTGGGTTTATGTCCTGAAATCACAGCTTTCATTTTTAAAATTACGATTTTCCTTTCTCTTTTTTATGCTTACTTTTTTTTCTTCTATCCTATCTCACTAGCCATATTACATTTGTCATCTGACACCAAGATTTGGCCAAGGAAATGCAAATGCAAGATTCTGTGATCATGGAAAGGTATGTATCTCCAGTTTGCAACAGTTGTATACGTTTTTGAAAATGCCCTAGATTGTACTGTTATTGGATTCTGGGATGCTCCTTCCAAAGATGCTAAGATGCTTTCTAAGGTCTTGCTATCCTGAACAAAGGATTGGTAAAGACAAGCAAAAAGACAGCAAGGTTTTACATTTGTTAAAAGTATTAAAGACAGAAAAAGAAATGTGGTCTGTTGAGTCAGCGTGGGTCAATTAGCAGTAAGAAAAGAAATATGCTCTACTGAGTAAGAGTGAGCCATTAAGGAAGCTTACTGTGGCCAAGAGCTTAATGGCAGCCATATTTTGTATCTCTCACTCTTCATGTTGATGTCAGATCTAGGCTGTTCTGTCAAAAACCTACTTGGTCTCTCTTGAGAAGAACTGAAGGTAGCACTTGCTGACTGATCTCATGTGCTGGGCTCTGAGGACTGCTTTTCTGAGTATACGCCCTGGAGCTGCCTGATTCACTGGTCATACCTACTTGTTCAGCAGGTTTGCCATGCCCTAATCTCCTGTTTCACTTTCCCCCTGAGAGATATTAACTCCCATAATTCTTTTTTTTTCTTTCTTTTTTTTTTTTTTTTCCGGTACCGGGGACAGAACTCACGACCACCTGCTTGCAAGGCAGGTGCTTATGCCACTGAGCTAAATCCCCAGCCCCACTACCATAATTCTTTATAGGTTGCTGAGGGCATGGCAGCCTCTGTCCTCATATAGCTACTTCTAACTGAAAGGGGTTATGGATCCTGTTTATGGGGGATTGTGCTTTCTCCAACAACTTTGGGATCCTGGGATGCTGCAGCTCACCAGCAAGGTCGAGAAAAAACCGTCAGAAGACAATAAGAAAGGAATTAGTGTCTATATGTGGAGAAGTGTTGAAATGCTTGTTTAATGGGAGAAAGCTTGGTGAATTTGTCAGGGGAGTCATGGGTTACTGTCTGAATCACCATCTGAAGCCTTGAATAGGTCAACTCTACTAGTGGGTTGAGGATGCAGAGTCCAAACTTGATGTGGAGCATGTCAGAATATTTCCCAATCTGTCTAAGAAGGTGAATTATGACAGATCTGGCAATTGGAGACATTAAGTTTTATTTTTAATTTTTTGGAGTAGATAGCATGATGAAAAAAGCAGATAAATTATCAAAAGCCTGAGAACAGTAGCGTTAGCAAGGTTGCCCATAAAAACAAGAGCCTCAATACAGTGCTAAGCTGATTACTTATCTGCACCCAGAATAGTACTAGAGTCTTGCCTTTTGAAGAGAAGCCTCAGATGTTCCAAAGATTCACAGGAGTAGCTGTCTTTTAACAAAGGAAATGGTCTGAGATTTTCAGGATTATTGTAAATACATAGTAGGCAAGCTTTGACAACAGATTATATGGTCCCTGCTAGTCCAAGTCCTGTGAAAATCTGAGCAACCATTTCCCATGCTTCATAAATGGAAAGAACTGTGAAGGATTTTTACAACCTTCTGCTGTGTCCCTTAAGGAAAGACCAATTAAATGGTTTTCAGGAACTGACAATAAGGCTTGGGTTTTGAGGGGCTATAAGGCTGCTTTTCTTATCTATCAGAAGAATTAAAATTTCCAGAGGAGACATCACACATGTCTCTTTGGTGTTCTTTGCAATGAATAACAGCAACCTGCTTGGGAAGAGAAGTTGCCTCCAATTTTACTAGTAAATTTCTCCTAGTAAGATAGTAGGATCTAGTAGGAAAATTAAAGACTCTTGGTTATACATTTGACCTTCAAGTTGGCATGTCAAAGGAAGAGTAAAGAAGCCCTGACTATGGTTTCTCTCAACCCCAATTATGGCTTTAGATGTGGAGGAGAGATTTCTAGAGAAGGAAGGTAAAACAGTACTAAGAATGTATTTAATAGTGTATCAGTAAAATGATCATAAAATTGATTTTTTAAGTAATTGATGGAGTATCAAGAGAAGTTCCATTGTTTTAACTGAATTTCCAAGTATGTAAATTATACACTAAGTAATTTTAAGTGCTCAGTTGTTGAAATGACCAGTAAGATTAAGGTTTAGTGACAAAACAACTTTAATACAAAGGAAAAATATAGTAACAGCAAAAAGAGAATATACAAGAAGAATTTAGAGTTCTTAGAAGCCAGTGCTTTGATCTATCAACCACTGGTTAGACATAAGATATGCACTGTCCCTAGGTCTCAAAGAACCATCAGTCTGTATGTGAAAAACTTCAGTTCCAGAAAACTCCAAATCTGCTCGTAGTAGAGTTCTTATATTGAATCGGACGCTTAAGTGTTCTAGCTATGCAGCCAGAGTTCATCTTCAAACTCCCCCATCCCTAGTTTCCACTGAAGTCAGGTTAAAACAATAAAATACATCACTAAGAAATGCAAGTAATAACATTGTTCTGAAACAACAAGTAAACTTACAATTTTAGAAAGTCAGTTTCTTAATATATTCTTTTTTTTGGCACTGAGAATTGAACTCAGGACCAGGTGAACGCTTGCCAGGTGAACACTGTGCCACTGAGCTACATCCCTGGCAAAGTTAATAGATTCTCTAATCCTGAGCAAGTGTAAACCACTCTGGAGATAAGCAGGGTCAATCTAAATCAGATGAGATTAATCTAATACTAAAAACAAATATATTCTGTTTATCATCTGTACACCCTCCAGAAGATAAGCGTAAGTTACCCAAGATATAGACAACTTTCTACCTACTAGTAGTTTAATATGAGAAACCCAAATATTAGATATCCTTGCAATTATGGTGAAGTAGCAAAGGACATATCATCAATAGAAAATTAGAAAATATGCATGGGACACATTTTTTTCTTTTTGGATTTTTAGAGAATGGACATAAGAAAATCAGCGAGGTGAGCTCTGATTTCCTCAGCTTTGTGCCTGGAGACAAATTGTTTATTATGGCCAATCAAATAAAGAATAGGACTAAATCTCAATCGAACTGAATTGAGAAGACCTAGTAGATTCAGAGAGATAAAGGCGCAGGAAAATTCAAGGCTAAATCCTTGAAACAAGGGAGTTATTAAGAAAAAGAATTCCAGAAATATTCAAACAAAGATCCTTGAAAATTTTACTACTAAATTGTGCTTGGATATAATGACACTGCAAAACTGGGCAAAGAATTGCCAATGAGTCATATGACCAAAACTTGACAGAACTCATACAAAGCAGAGAAATACTCAAACATGAACCAGTCAGAGTGTAGAATTCTTGGTGATTTCACAAAAAATTCAGTGGTGCCCTTAGAAAGGCATACCATAAGACTGGGCTTGATCTATTATTTCAAGGTTACATAAACGACATATCAAAGCTTGAAAACAAGATGCTGTTGCAATAAAATCAACTTCAGGTAACAGCAGACAATCAAAATTAAGCCTAATCATCTATATTTTGTCAATATTCTGACATAAATTCAGATATCCAACAACATAATAACTCAACTTTCAGTATCTAATAAAAAGTGTTACCTGTGGCAAGGAAGAAAACCAGGAGAAAAATCAATAACCAGAATGAGATGCAGAAATCACAGAGATGCGAAAATTAGCATAAATAATTTATGGAGACAAGCATAGAAAGAAATGAAACATGCACAAAAGAACTAAAAAGTGCATCTCAAATGCTCATTTGAGTGGATGAGGAAGCTGTAGATGTAGCTACTATCGAAGGTAAAGTTAGCCAACCTGAAGAAACAGGAATAAAATCTTCCTAAAACTAAGCGCAAAGAAAAAAAGGTGAAACAGAAATTAAATGACTTAAAAAAAGTGATCAATTAATTTAATATATAATTTGAATCCCAGAATGAGAGGAAGAATTTCAAAAATAAAATATTGGAGAAATATTTCCATATTTGATGAAAACTATAAAACCAGAGCACCATGAAATAGAATGAACTTCAGGAAACACACACACACACACACACACACACACACACACCCTCCCATATATATATGAACCTCATCATGGCATATCACAATAAAATATGGAAAAAAGTGGTAATATAAAAATTCTGAGAAATGAAAGCAAAATTTCAAAAAGATATTTGTATACCCATGCTGATGACCATAATATTCCTAGTAGCTAATAAGTGAAAACAACCTGCACATCCATCAACATATTAAACAAACAAAATGCAGTATATGAATACAGTAAACATTATCAGCCTTTAAAAGGCAGGAAATTCTGATATATGCTACAAACATGAATGAAACTTGAAGATGTTGTGCTAAAGGCAATAAGCCAGTTACACAAAAGCAAATATTGTATACTTCCATGTATGTGAAATTCAGTAGTAAATTTCTTACAAACTCTTAGAGACGTAAACCAGAATGGTGGTTGCCCAGAATGGCAGAAGGAAGAAATGGGGAATTATTGCTTCATGGGAAAATGATTCAGATTTGCAAAATGAAAAGTTATTGAGCTGGTTGGTGGTGATGTTTGCAAACAACTGTAATATACTTTAAATACATTATCACTGAGCTTTACACTTAAAAACAATAAAGAAGTAAATGTCATAGTATATGTGTTTAATGACAAAAAAGACAAGATTCTTTAGTATTGCTTATTTTAATGTGTGAATAAGATGTCAGTGTTAGTCAGTATTAGTGTGGCACAAATATACTTTATTTTTAAAGTATTTTATATTTCAATTGAATAAATCTTTATGAGAAGGACTTTAACAACAAACAAACGTTGCTTTCTGATGAAATGCAATGCTCCCATTCTATTTATCTTTTCATCGTGTGTTCCCCCTGCTCTGAGATAATCATATAATTAACTTTATTAGTCTTTTTTATCCTATAGATTCTAGTATTTGACAAATATGCAATGTGATACATACAGAAGTTTATGGTAAACCTGTTTATAACTATTCCATGCTTTCTATAAGCTAAGCATAGCAACAAACAACAAATGCATAGCATTTTCTGTTTGCTATAAATCACATCCAAAGTCATAATGGAAAAAATAGAATCTGGATTCAGATCC